ACCGACTCGTTGGCGGGCAGCACCATCACATTCAGGGGCGCCAACGGCACTTTGAGGGCGGCACCATCACATTGAGGGGCGCCACCGATACTGAAAGGGGCGGCATCATCTTCTTGAGGGGCGGTATCATCACATTGAGGGGCTCCACAGATGCTTAGAAGGGCGGCACCATTACATTGAGTGGGGCTACTTGAACAGATTTAGGGGCGGCACTGTCACATTGAGTTGCGGGATCATCACTTTCTATAGACGGCTGCTTCACTTTAAGAGGCGACATTATCATTTCGGAGGGCAGCAGCCTCACTATGAATGACGGCACCTAGCCTGCATGTGCGTGCTGCATCCTAGAGGGGGCGGCAACTGGGTCGGCAAACGGCTGTCACTGGGTCAGCATTCTCCGTGACTGGGTCGGCAATTGCCGACCCAGTTAACATGTTAAAATACGCCCTGTCGGAAAGCAAAAACTTGGAGTTTCAACGGAAGCAGACATCATTTTTCTCCAAAAATATCACACTTTCGTGCCTGAAATATGATAACTTTTTTGCTATTAAGCATTTTCCCGAAGAAGTGAAAGGGGGCATCTTACCCCACAGGGTGGGAAAGACGCCCCCTGGCGTTGGGAAAGATGCCCCCTACACTATAAGTGACATAAATGGGCACGTGAATCGCCTGAACGAATCAGTAGTCCCTTCGAGACTGCAGTAGACACCAAACGTCATCGAAAGGGCCCTCAAAAGTAGTCGTAAGGGACTTCAGAGGTCATCGTTAGGGCCATCATAGTCCAACGCGGCCAAACAAGCCTCCTTGGTGGCGTTCGGAGACCACTGTGGGGCCCTTATAGGTCTTAATGATGCTTGAGGGCCCTCGAGCCAATCGTGGGGACCTCAGATGCCAGCGCGGCCCGTGGAGCCAACGTGAGAGCCCTCAAAGGATGTCGTGAGGGGCCCTGGAGCCAATAATGGGGCCCACAGAGGCCGTCGTGAGGGCTCTCAGAGTCAGATGCCGCCCAAAAAGTCGCTGTGTGGGCCGAGAGACCGGCATGGGGAGCCCCCGACCGTACTGGACTCTCAATAGTCCCAGATCGGCTTTTGTCTCTCATCACAAGTATGTAATAAATGATTTGACGGGCTGCTTGAAGGACAGCCTACGGATTTAACCCGCGCCCTGATGGGGGGGGGCCATTTTGGCCCCCCCCCCCCTGTGGTTTTTCTTAAATAGCGAGAAAACGGCGGCGCGCAGCGCCGCCAAATTTTGGGTACCTTACCGGACATCAATTTGACACCTTCACACAAAATTTCAAGTCACAGGTCACCTCAGGTCAGGAGTTATTGAGGTCAAACTGAGGTCATGTTCGAGTAAAAATGAGCAAAAAACATGACATCTTGAAACGCTCACTTATTCTACAGTTCACAAGCAATTTTAAAGTTCTTTATGTGGTTGTGTATAGAAAAGACGGCGCTACAAAACTGCTATCTCGGATTTTTGAAATTTTTGGATTGTGACCCCCAAAAATCAAAAAAATTGATTTTTTTAGAAAAACTCAAAAAATTTCCAAAAAATTTTCGAATTTCGAAAAAACCGGAATATATGTGATAGTCCCTGCGCTCTTCGATATACATACCAAATTTTAGATCGATAGCTCTTTTTTGGCCAAGTTATAGCGAAAAAACTGTTAAAAATTGATGACGTCAAATTTTTGAACTCAATTTTTAGCAATTCTAGACCTCGTAGCGCAAAACGGAGACCACCATTGAACTCCCCGTGACGAGCTGCATCGAATCGATACCCATTTTATGCAAAAATATCAACTTTGAAATTTGACCTAATTTGACCTGACCTTGACCTGACCTTGACCTGACCTTGACCAAAACGTGACCTAAGCTGGCCCTAAAGTCTGTCTGACCCACATAATCGCATTTGTCATGTAAAATGGACCATAAAACATGTATCACACGACACTTTCATATTGTGACCCCCCAGTGACCTGACCTCTGTGACCTGACCTGGTATCAGTGACCTCAAATAGCAAAATATGTGTTTGAAGAACATTTCCCCATCGATGATTTTCAATGAAATGCATTTTACACGATTTTACAACGCATTTCTTGAAATGCCTGTAAACGGTGAAAATTCGAACTTTGACCTGACCTGTGACGTCATCGGTTTGACCGAGGTCAATGAAATTGGGTCACAAGGTAGTTCCCTGTTGGGGCTATCCAACACCGTTTACCGCTTGTCGCTATGTTGCGTGGTTCTCGAGATCTGAGGGGGGGCCAAAATGGCCCCCCCCCATCAGACCGCGTTGCTCGGCAGACCCCATCTGGGCGCGGGTTAAGGGGGCGTCTTTCCCCATCAGGACAGGGGGCATCTTACCCCAAGGTACCGAAGTAACATTAACCCTATTAGTGGCAGGGGGGGGGTTGTTTTCATCCACCCCTCAGGTTTTTCGGGAATATCTCCGAAACCGCTGAAGCTACGATGCTGAAATTTTCTGACTTTTCCTAAAACTAAATTGGGCACACTCCCTGAAAATTTCAAGTTCATAACTTTACCAGGGGCGGCTCCAGAGCACTGGGAATTGGGGGGTCCTATTCGTGAAGCGAGTCATTTGGGCGAAGATCACGATGCTGATGTATTATAACTGTATGCACCAGTTTTACGAACAGTGAATGAAAGGTATCATATGATAACATATACAAAGTTATTGTACATCCTCTTTTGACACGTTTTTGCTATAATAGGCGGATCCAGGCGTCCAAAAAGGGGGTTATGTTTTACCTCCCAACATAGGTGCCCTGACACCGCCTATGCATGACCAATACAATTGTAGTCGTTCTCTCATAAGAAAATTGTAACATAACAAGACCATTACCACCCTTTTTAGAAACAGTACCAACAAAAACCTTATTTACTATACTTTTTGTGTGCCCCCAATCTTAATGATCTGTATCCGCCTATGATTTTTGAAAATGCATATTTTTAGGATCCATGTGAATTCCTGGTTCATTCTCTATCGATCTGCAAAAGTTGCGTTAAGATTGGTTCAGAAACCTGGCCGTGATAAACAGTCTAAAATGTATCTGGAATTTGCCCGTTTTTACCCCTCTCTACCCCCCTATTGACATTTTTTTAATTTTTATTTTTTTTTTAGAAATGTAGATCACGTTGAGCGAAATCGAATGCCGTTTGAATTTTGAAAATCGGCCCGTTAGATCTCGAGATATCAAGGGGGGTCGTAAACAGCCCCCCCCCCCTGCCACTAATAGGGGTAGCCAGGAGCCTGCCACTAATAGGGTTAAATCAGTACCTACAATTTGTTAGCCATAAAACTACACCCTGAAACAAACTGTTTGGGACACAGTACACCATGGGTGGAGCTTTTCCAGGAAAGTTGGTGGGGCAAAAAGTTGTCAAACCTACCGATGTCCGATTGTTAAGTAAGATAAAATACAACAATGAATCAATTCTTTTCATTACAGAGATGATACTCGTATTTTGCATTACACAGACATTTCAAAGCTCCTCGTTGCGAAAAACATTGGTTTGCTAAGCAGTAATTAGTCTTGCGAATTGGCTTAAGTTGGTGGGGCAAAACGCTTATTGGTGGGGCAAAATGGCAAGTTGGTGGGGCAGCCGCCCCACCAAGTGAATAGGAAGCTCCGCCCCTGCAGTACACGCATGTTAATGTATCACGACTATATAGCAAGGGACGCAAAAATTATCTACCTTCTTTGATATTTACAATGTTTTGACACCAAAATATTTTTTTGAAAGCAGCAAATAAAAAACATGCAATCACCAGCCAGCCGTTGCCCAACTGAGCTTCGCAAATTTTTGTGCAGTTTACAAGGCAGGCTTCCGCTTTACGCTAAGAACATTAATTTCCAGGTTCGATTCTTTGTTTCGCCGCTAGAGGGGGTGGGGCGTCTTTCCCACCCTGGGCATCTTACCCCACTCTCCCCTATTTCTACATACGCGCCGGCCGAGGGGGGGGGGGTCGGGTACGACCCCCCCTCGCTGTTTCGCCACTGATGGAGCTAGCGCGTCGCGGAAAAAACGAGCGTGTGCGCCGTTACGAGACGCAGAGATTGGTACCCCATTTTAAGGTCCTAGGTCAACCGGTGACCTCTGAGGTCAGGTCAAGTGCCCCAAGGTACGGTTCCGTTTTTGGTGAATAACTTCGCAAAAACGGCCGCAGAGCCCCGATTTTGGCAGCATCGTGCTCGCCTCGCTCAGGCGCGTCGAATGATATACTTTTTGTTCGGGTCAGGTCAACTTAGGGTGTTGACCTCAGGTCAAGGTCAGGTCAGCACCCCCAGGTCACGAAGTTGGTCGAAATAGGTCATGTCGCATATCATTCGATTCGAAAGGTCTTCCTGAGTCCATTGGTGGCTTTTCCGATCGCTAGCTTAATTTGATCAAGAGTTATTGACGAAAAACTAATATGACCTTGATGACGTCATAAATGACGTCACGCAAGGTCAACATTGCAAAAGTGACGCATCTAACCTTGCAAGGAGTGCATCAAATCACGATTCTGTGTGCTTGAGATAGTTGGAGATCTTCCCGGCGCCAGAATAGCAGTTTTCATTTTTCCCCATTGACTTATAGTCATAAGATCCGGCTTGAATCAAAGGTCAGGTATGCCAAGTTTCAGCTCTCTATCGCTAGCGTGTTCTGAGCTATCGCGAAAAACCCCTATGGGGGGGGGCGGCACCCGCTCCCCCCTCGGCCGGCGAGGGTTAACATCACAAGCCTATGTGAAGATGCTGAATAATGCGTCCTGCTTCGCGTAAACGAGCCAAACCCATCCGATTCGTACATGATTATGACAGATTGTGGCTCATAGCTGTACTGACCCAGGTGCCAGTTACCTACTGACAGGGACATCAGGAAAGGTCATCTGAGGTCACTTGAGTGTACGCGGTTACGAGACGCAGCGATTTATACCCGATTTTAAGGTACCCGAGCTTGCTGATCTGAAACAACCCACACACTCATTACCATACACAGGCATATTTATTTACAAACACGTAATCAAACAGCTCCGTTTTAATTTCAGCTCTCCTGATTTTTCCTCAATGAATGCATTTCAGACACTGTTGGTGTTGGGAGGGTTCCAGGTCATCCCAGCTCGGCTGCAGGGCTGGCCACGGGCGGATATATCCAAGGTCATGAGACGAGAGAGCCAGTAGCGGTCAGCGACGCTCGACGGTGAGGTCACGTGACATCACTGCCGTGGTTTCCTTGACCGACCAAGATGCAACATAGCTCCGTGGCTTTTTAGCATTCCACACCGGGACTGAGCTGCAAGTTACGCTCAATAACACTGAAAGCCGATCCTTTTGCGTGCTTCTGTTGGCAATTTAAGGCAGTATATCCATTTCTGGTAGTACACAACCAGGCTCGAGCCACGCATGACAAACTTTTGCATACACAATTGACACCACACACGACATCGAAAAGCACCTCAAGAGCCAAATCCGCTCCTCTCCTCTCCCCAACCCATTGCAACTTGCATGATACAAATGCTTCTTGCACCTTGACAAGAAGGCATTCCTAGCACAAATGCTCGTTTAGCACCCTAGCTCATAAAGGTCAGCACGCAGGTCATGACGCATCCTTGGAGCTGCACGGTCGCTGTCCAGGTCAGGTCAGGTCAGCCTTCTAGGCAGCTTTAAAACCTGACGGAGAAGTTGGAGAAGTCCTGTGCATTCAGGTAGATGGTGTTGGAGACGTCGCACCGCTCCGGCTGAGATCCCGGGCTTCCCGTCTTCTCCATCCACTGAACTCTGCCAACAGAAAAAGAACAGGGAGAATGGAATGCCTTTAGATTAAAGTGTCGCCTATAATAATACCCAGAAATTGCAACTTTTGATTTACGATCATTTGTGCGTCAACGAAGGTAGCTGTGCAGGTGCATACGTTTAAACTAAACTTTTAGTGAAATGCCTCTGCTCTCCAATGATTTGAAGTTCAAGAGGCCTGACAATTAGCATAACAACGTAAATTCGATTTAAAAAGTTGTCGAACATTTACCGCTGGTGACCATTTAGTTTTCAATCCATCATCAGCAGTCATGCTGAGCATAGACTCTGAGTAATCAGTATGTGTTGGCGGAGCGGGGCCAGACGATGTCGGCATCTCTGCGGCCTCTCGATCAATACGGGCCCGGGCCGAATTCGGGTCACTCCTCTGGCGCGGTCAAACACGACCGTGACTGCTGTTTGTGCGGTGTCGGCACCGCAAATGGCAGTGGAGAGAACGGGAACGGGGTGGTGGATGACGGGAGAATGGGGGCGGCGGGAAGAGGGAGGATGAGAAGCAAAAAGAGGAAGCTCAAGGATGAGGATTGAGGAGAAAGGATGAAGCAGGCAAAATGAAAATAAATAGGTCAAGACTTTAAGTAAGCGATAAGAGTTACCAAAATACTAGAATAGGCGGTGTTGACGAAAAGGCTGGAGGAAAGGAGGGACGAAAGAGTAGAATGAAATGAGAACGGGAAGAGAGGTTTCGAATTGCTGAAGAACCTGATTAAGACATCAACGGGAAGATAGAGGGAGCGGCGATAAGAGTTGGCTATCCGGCGAATGCACCTAATTTGACCAAATCTGCACCTAATCTCTTTTACAGCAAGTGCCTTCATTTTATTAATTAATTTCAGTGTTTTAATCGATGATGCTCTCTGATAATATGACAAAGTAGGCATATAAGCAATAAGTGCAACCGTAGCTGATAGCTACAATGAACCTAATTTGACCAAATCTGCACCTAATTTGCACCAGATGTGCACCAAATGTGTACCAGATGGCCATCGTGAAAACGGCTGATATCTACGGAAGCTCTCGAATTCGCCGTGTTTGCAATAATATCCTTACCCCGGCACCTTCTCGGTCGCCACCGCAACTTCTTCTCCCTCCCTATAGCCGATTATTCTCTTATCTCATTCCCCGTCGTGAAAACGGCTATTGTGTTCCATGTGTGAGTTAAGTAATGAAGCGGCATGCCAGTGCGGTATATTTTGGTATAGCGGGACTAAAACCCGAACTGTCCAATCGCAAAGTGCTTTTTGGTATCCACTATAGGACTGAAAAAAGGCACGATGGAACGACAATGGCACAGGATTGACAGGACATACATTCATATGTACCTATAAAGCCAAATAATTATAGGTGTTTATGTGTATGTGCTTTATCAGACGTGTGTCAATAAATGTTGCCTTCCATTAGAATAGCAAAGCATTTTATTCGGGGGTGAACACTTTCATTTCCTATTTATCAATGCTTGCCATATCATATGTGCGCAAGTTCAACTTCCTATAGGTATAAGGTTGGATTTATAACTAGGTGCGTATAATTACAAGAAGGCCAGCGAACACTCAAAGTAATACTTTAAGATCACGTCTTGTTTTTTACATAATTCCGCAGCCATATCTGTCCACTCTCTGTTTGCAAAGCATCCAGCTAAAATATAAAGTAACTCAACTTCCTCTCAAGCTTTGCCAAACTGCTGACGTCATGTGGGCGAAAATCTCGCCGAGTTGGCAACAGCCCGTCCGCAATTAATTTCAGTCATCCTGGCAAAATTAATGACTTTCAACCGCCGAGCCGAATATTCGCAGCAGTTGTAAAGCAAAGCAGCGGAACGAAATGTCAGGACCGTTAGGAATCAGCGAGCGTCACACTTTTGGCTGTTGAAGGTTATCGTCGCACCGAATGAATGCATGTTTTTGAACACACACAAAAAAATGGATAGGATGGTAAACAGGTAAACTGCGCGGATTATACATCAGCATATGCATCCAAGATAAAATTCGTACCAGCTTTAACGCTGCAATGGCAGGTTAAATACATTTTTGAACTACATTGGCTTCAAATGTGCTATTATACAGCATTTTCAATTAGGTAAGTGTCTGGGATTGGATGTAGGTATCCTTGGCTTTCGCTACAACGGTGGCAGCCCTATTGAGGCATGAATGTAGGCCAAAAGCTTATGCGTTTATTGGACTTTTCACTATAGTTCATGTTCCTCTAAACTCTACTCAGATCCGAAAGTTTGTCTTCCTTGAGTTGGCAAAAGAACGGTCGATAAGCGGCTCTGTCCAGAGTGATGCTGTGCCGCATTGCTTCTGTGCTAGGCGGCACAGTATACCTGGCAGGGCACCAGATCGCCTGCTGCCAGCCTGGACGAAGCATACGCGCTGTTGCTGACGATCTGATGAATGATTAATCCAAGCAAGCTTTCAGCTCGACACCCTTTTTGCTGAGATGAGTCAGCCAATATTAGATATTTAGGTATGTCCTACATTCAAGTTGCCACAAACATCGTTTTAGCCCTTTTCCACTATCATTCACTCGATTCTCCCACTCTTTGACATGACTTTTCTCATCACGTGTTCACTGTCCGTTCTCAGCTGGGAGGGCGCGTCCGGCGGTGTCAGTATTTTGACGCTGTCAGCCGAGCGTCGTCCGTCGTCCGCCCCCGGGCTGGCACCTCTCCACGGAATGTGAGCGCGCCTCCGCCGGCGCCGGCCGCTGTCCAACGGCTGCGACCATTGCTCACGGGGAGCGGAGGACAGACAGGACCGCCGGCCTTCACGGCTCAGAGGCGCCGGGCGTCTGCCTGTGTTCACCCGTAGTTGAACTATTGGTGTGTGCTCACAGGTCCAGGGCCTGAACTTGGGCTGACTGGGGGCTGGAGTGTTCAATAATGTATGCAGAAAGTGCTGGGATATAAGTTATCTTCCATGCCAAAAGAAAAGGAAAAGTTTCGACGAAAATATTCAGCCTTAGTAGATTTGGTCTGGCTTTATCCAGACAGCAGGATGGAAGATCGTCATCTCATCCAAAGCATATCACACCTCAATCAGCCTCAGACATCGCTGGCATCTCGTATATAACGCCAACAACCCTATTCTGATCCGATTTGTTAGCAGCCAGTCTGACAGAAATCCTCCTCCCATATCTCGTCTACATATCTCTTCTATTTCTTGCTAAATAGACGGCGCCCTTGTATCTCGCCTTTACGATAGTGGACAGCTGATGATCACGTTTCGTATTCCATAGAGACAGTCTAAATCGTGCATATTTCAACAGCACTGCCCTTTTTCTACAACACGGCATATGGTTTGTTTCTCAAAGGCGACGGTGCGGTAACGAGCGCGGCAGCTCCAGCCCAGGGCCTGTTTTCGGTGCGTTTCCGGTGCGTTTCCGGCCGTTTCCGGAACCAGAAGCGCCGCTCGTGGCGCCGCTAATACAACACTGTCGATTGGCGCCGGCTGCAGATAATAGACAGCGCTGATCGATGTCACTCGCGCCGCGCCAGATGCTGGTCGTTTCCGTGAGCGGTGGCCAGTGGTCGCAGCAAGCTGCTGCAGTCCGGAGTTGGTCCCAAGGGGCAGGGCAGGGTCTCGACCGGCCACCGGCCGTCGGTCGAAGGCGAAGGTCATTCGCAGATTGCATACTAATTAGTGAGTCGGCGCACCGCTTCGGGGCTCGGGAGGAAATTGCTTCATCGTTGCAACGGCAGCGCGAAATGACAGCCGTTTCTCAATTAGTTCCGTTATAATTTGGAGGAGTTGGAATGATACTGTTGTGAAGATTGTCCAGTTGTGCTAGGTGGCTTCTCAGCTTGTATCTACCGTGTAATGATAAATTGCTGAAATCTGCGCTTCGAAATGTAAAGCGACAAGAGAAAGTTTGCTTTTACTAGGCCCGTGTGACGTTTACTTCCCCTGGAAATTATGAGGAGCGGAAGACATTATGCCATAACGTAGCTATGATCGGCCTTTACGACTCCCTGAATAAATAACTCGATCAACAATGACAGGCTATTGAAGTTATAGCTTCAATATCCCTCGAATTACCCTGAAAGTGGGTCAACTTTTATATGGCTCCACCATGCATCGTAAACTCATACACAAGGGAAGAGGTACGTCATAAGCATTTCCCTGGACAGGCCGGGAGGATATGATGAAACAAGCACCCGGTATGAAACTGCCCCCTCTCTCTCTCTCTCTCTCTCTCTCTCTCTCTCTCTCTCTCTCTCTCTCTCTCTCTCTCTCTCTCTCTCTCTCTCTCTCTCTCTCCCTCTCTGTTTCTCTCTCTCTCCTCTCTCTCTCTCTCTCTCTCCCTCTCTGTTTCTCTCTCTTTCTCTCTCTTTCTCTCTCTCTCTCTCTCTCTCTCTCTCTCTCTCTCTCTCTCTCTCTCTCTCTCTCTCTCTCTCTCTCTCTCTCTCTCTCTCTCTCTCTCTCTCTTCCGACACGGCTGCTCGCCGACTTCACTGATATCCACATAAACTGAGCCGGGGTCAGGTCTCGCCCGGCGATAGTGTTTCAGCGGTTCGCCCGTCACGCTCCAGCCGGCGCGGTCGGTGCAGGGCATTGTTCGACCGATGGCGGACCGGCGATCGTGCTATCATCAGAGAAGTTGGACGATCACGGCCACAAATGGCTGGGTCGCTCCAGGACAACGGATGGAGTCTAATGGAGCAGGATGTTTCACTGTTGAGTGTTATTCGTTAATGGGTTAATGACTGGGGGAGTAGTTAATTCTGGAGCACTCGGTCCAGCTGATCATTTAGCTGTCTAGTGTCTATACCACAGAGATTGTACGATCTGTGACGGGCTTGTAACCACTTGCTAGACATCTGACCCATGCATATTGCATATACCTATATAGGTAATCGATTAGTTTCTTTGCGTGGGCGATTGATAAATGATAACTGGGTGAAACAGGGATTACTGCTGTAATCTCCATGTCATACAATAATGCATATTGCATCATATAACAGAGATCAAAACCCCATAGTGCAGTGAACAGACAAAGAACGGTATTGTTTGAGCTTATTTCCTCGCAACAGTGATAAGCCCCTAAAAGAGGTTATTCCGCTTTTTCTGTGGAAAAACGACATTGAACACCAACCTGATTTATGAATATGTATATAGCTGCATAAGAATATTAAATAGAGCAAGATTATACCTAATGACATTAACACCAACTATTCCCCGCTCGTCTAAGGTGAGCCCCCACTCACATTTCGTCCACCTGCGATTTGCGCGCCTGCAGTTTGCCGCAGATGGTGCCCTGTTTGGTGTTCTTTACCCAGCCAGTCGCGCCGAGTTCGTCACACTTCTCCTTCAGAAACTTCACGTAGCCACAACCTGCCAATGAAACGATGTGAAACTATGTGAGCAAAAATTTATGTGAAGACAACCTTGACAAACTTGTTAAAATTATTGTCAGTGCGGTCAAACTTCGTTTCCTGCAAGCTCAAATCACGTCAGCATCTATTAGCGTAGCACATCAGCAGCAGCTGGTGCCGAAATTGGGTCAGGGACTGGCAGTAGGTCACAGCTGCCAGCCCTGACCGACCGCCAAATGACCATTGACCAATCACTCCCCGTTCCCTCGCCCAACCCGTCTGGAAGGTAGCCCACCGCGGGTCACCGGGACAGGAAGGGCACGAATCCACCGCATACCGGAAGAGGGCGTGTGTGACCTGACCGTGCCGCGGGCGATATTCATCCATCTACACCAGCTGAGGCCAGCGCTGACCGTAATGGCCGGGACGGCGCCGCGGGGGACGGCTCCATCAGGCTATCACGATAAGCGGGTCGTCCTGGGCCGCCTGCCCGCCCGCGGAGTAGCTACTTCTGTGTCTGGCAGCCGACGACCCATCTGGTACCAGTGGATATCTCTCAAGGTCTGATAATCTGGGTCCAACGGCGTGGTGGCGATTTTTTCAGGCATCTGACGATTTTGAATGGAAGGAATTTGGTTGCTTGCCAACGGTATACAAGTGAATGCAGAATGAAACACTACCTACTTACACTGAGAAGCAGGGCTGCGGAGTCGGAGTCGGTCGGAGTCGACAGTAGTGACCGGAGTCGGAGTCGGAGTCGGAGTCGATTTTAGAAACCCGAGCCGGAGTCGGAGTCGGAGTCACCGAAAATCTGTCGACTCCGCAGCCCTGCTAGGTCTGCGGAGTCGGAGTCGGGAGTTGGAGTCGGTCGGAGTCGACAATTCTGCCCGGAGTCGGAGTCGGAGTCGGAGCTGGTTTTTGAAAGCCGGAGTCGGAGTCGGAGTCGCCGAAAATCTATCGACTCCGCAGCCCTGCTGAGAAGCCCCAGTTTCCTTCCCTAAAAAGATGCGCGATTGTCCTGAAATTCCACTTTAGATGATCACTCGGACAAATAGACGTTACGTTTGCTCTAAATCAAAACGTTTTTTTTTTTACAACAATCACATTCGAACAATTTGTAATAATGCATTTTAACAGAAGAGTTTAGAAACAAATCTTGATAATTTTTCTCGCCCGTAAGACGTTGCTCGATTTTAGTCGAAAGTATCGAAAGTATCGAAAGTACAATAGTTTCGATGGTTATAACCCTCGCAGGCGTGCGGCGTTTGCCAGCTTCTAATGTGTAGGGGGGGGGGGTCGGTTGGACCCCCCCCCCTTGCCGTTTGGCCCCTGATCGAGCTAGAGCTTCGCGGAAAAAAACGAGCGTGTTGCCCGTGACGAGAGGAAGCCGATGATACCCAATTTTAAGGTCTTAGATCATTGGTTGACCTTCCAGGTCACGTCAATGACCCAAAGTCGGGAAAATCGGGACCTGTTAGAAAGTCGTAAAGGGTGGCTGCTAGGGGGTTTTTCGGGGTGCTGATCACGAATATCGTGTTAGTTTTGATCACAGATGATGTCTTTAAGCATTTAGACCAGGTCGGGTCAGGTCAGGTCAGGTCAACCAGTAGGCGTCGTGACGGGTATTCGTAGTACGTGTCAACCGCCTCTGACAGCTTCGTAACATGTTACGAAGGCACCAAAACTACTTCGTAAATCTTCAAATGGTTGCTAGATTCGAATTCAGCTCCAAAAACTGGCCTAGAAACATGCACAGCTCGAAAAAAGTGAACCGAGGTCACCCGAGGTCACCAAAGGTCAATGACCTGACCTGACCTTCAGGTGACCTTGACACCCACCCTGATGCATGGAAGCAACATCAAATCACATGTTTGAACGTTTGAAACCACGAAAAGCTTGCCAACGCGCGGCTAATGCGAGCCGACATACGCAGAATCGCGATTCCGGCCAAACATGGTCTCGGAAAAGAGGTCACAGGTCAAAGGTCATTTGGGTCAGGGTCATGAAATTTTCAGGGTAGGTGTAAAATTTATCAATGTGAGGGTACCTATATAGGGCCAAGGCGATGTCGCCTCTTTTTTTTGTTGCTGTTGAAAAAAAAATCACAAATTTTGGGAACGGGAGCCACGACCCTACGAGTCTGTTAGGCATATGCCTGACAAAATACCGTCTTATAATCTGTTCTGTCTTTACTTTGCTAAAGGATAAATCAAGAAGTCCAAGATGGCCTGACTCCATCCGAGGATGTCACCACCTCTCACTCTCAGTTAGTCCGTCAGACGAGGCATTACTCACATAAGTAATAACGTTAGCAGTGGACAGTGGTGTCCCTGCTGGGAGAATGCGTCGTGTTTGCTTTCTGTCGCTATAGTGGCGGCTGGCGTGTCGAGATGAGTGGCCGTGTGGCACATCGATCCGTCCATATGTACTTACCACTGGACACTCCGCCATACTCGAGGGCACTCTGAGCGCTCTGCATACACTCCCGAAATACTGACCAATGCATAGTAATAAGGCCATCAACATTCGGCGATTGTCATAGCGTGCATAAAAAGTGAGATGTTTTCGGCGATCAGTTGTATGAGCCTGGACAATGCATTGATGTAGTTGGTAGGAGTCTGAGGAGTCTGCGGGTTGTCGAGTGTTTCCCGCCGCTTGGCTGGCACCGATATAGAACAGTCGATACTCGATAGCTTATTTCCTACTGTCGTTTGTTGGCTGAACATTTATCTTCCGCTGTGGACGGCTAGATTTATTGGAACTCCAGCCGAGCTGGTGGCCGTTTTCAACTGACAAATGTGTTACAGGGATACTGAAACTGCACGACAAAAGATAAATGTAACATTATAAGTCAACTGATAATGTTTTTTCTCCGCGGTGAGGGCGAGCGCCGCCCATGTGATTGCGTCATACCGCCCGCTCGTCAGGTCCGCATGACCCGAGCCCGGGTCATTCGCGCTCGCAGCGCCGCCGAGAGCAGTCAGCCACTGAGCCGTGGGCTGAGCGCGGCGCTTCCTGCTTTTCGTTCCTTTTTGCTCTAGCAAGGCAAAGGAGCCCTACCGTATCCTCACATTCCCACGTAAAGAATGTTTTACATTCCAAGTTCTTAATGAGTACTGTAGATACATCAGCATGAGTGCGTCCAGCGGGCAGAAAGTGAAGCTCCAGTGTGATCACCGGGGTAGGACGGATTAGGCTCGCTATTAACGCTTAAAAATCTCCCCTATCGCGACGTTCAAATCTTACATTGGTTTCATAACTTGCGTGCGTGGGTGGATCGGCCTTGGGAGTGTTTTCCTACGCCGAACGTATGATCTGCACCAAGGCACGTTCCGTCCGTACCATCGCATGGCGGTCAGAAAGACAGCACGTTTGGATCTCAGGGCATGGCCGATGATGTTGGTCCTTTTTGCCCAGGCCATGGGACTGGGGCTACCACGTCCCCGTAATCCATAGAAGTGTTCATGGCAGTGGCGCTGGCTCCTGCTACGACACGAGCCTATCACGCTGTCTGAAAGGAGCAGAACTTTCCTCGGGAGTCGGCTTCTGACAGCCTGTTTCTAGTCAGCGTCACAAATGTTGACAACCTTTGGCCAAGCAGAGTTTTGCGTACTGCGATGCTTTTGCTAGAACTGGGACAGCTATGTAACGCTCGCCGGCAAGTCACCATGTTTCGTTCAAATTGCTCAACGTTCCATGCCATTTTCACGCTGTTTTTTTTTTTTTGCCCCTCTCCGTCGCGGCGAAATGGTCCGTTGCGGGCTACAGGAACATACTGGTGCACTTGCAGTGCCATAGAGTCCTGGCCACGACGCAGTTGTAGTATTCCGTGCTTCTTCCCGTGCTCTCTTTCCGGTGCGTGTTAGTCGCCATGCTCCATTGAGCGTTGGTCGTTGTGCCAGTTTGGCCAGAGGATTCATGTAAGTGATTCTCCTGGCTCTCTTGCCGTGCACTGGTCCGAAAGGAAAGGTTGCCAGTTCCGCCAGCCGAACTTTCTCTTTGCACTGTTCAGCCGTGCGCTGGTCCAAGATTGGTGCCAGTTACGCCGGCCGATTTTTCGTTGCACTGCTCAGCTGTGCGCTGGTGCCAGTTACGCTGGCCGATTTTTCGTTGCACTGCTCAGCCGTGCGCTGGTCCAAGATTGGTGCCAGTTTCGCCGGCCGATTTTTCATTGCACTGCTCAGCCGTACGCTGGTCCAAGAAAGGTGCCAGTCTCGCCGCTACACTGCTCAGCCGTGCGCTGGTCCAAGATTGGTGCCAGTTACGCCGGCCGATTTTTCGTTGCACTGCTCAGCCGTGCGCTGGTCCAAGATTGGTGCCAGTTTCGCCGGCCGATTTTTCATTGCACTGCTCAGCCGTACGCTGGTCCAAGAAAGGTGCCAGTCTCGCCGCTACACTGCTCAGCCGTGCGCTGGTCCAAGAAAGGTGCCAGTTACGCCGGCCGATTTTTCGTTGTAATGCTCAGCCGTGCGCTGGTCCAAGATTGGTGCCAGTTACGCCGCTACACCGCTCATGCAGCTGCGCGCTGGTCCAAGTTTGGTGCCAGTTACGCCAGCCGAAATTCGCGACACGAATTTTCTGTAGTCCCTGTTCTGCCGATCTCCCCCGTGCTATAGCAGCGCATTACTCTCAACGTAATGTAACTCGCTGGGGCTTCCGTGTATGCAGCAGATGTAGTTTTGCTAATTTGCAAGCACGCTGCGTGTGTTGCGGACCATGTGCTGGTGTTGAAGCGAGCTGCGTCTCACGCGCTCCTCAGTTACCGTTTGCGGCTATTGTATGTTGTGTGCCGGACATGCGCCGGGTGAATGCATTTGTTTTACTTTTATGCAAATTTTTATCTGCACTTAATTTTGCTAAGCTTACCTGCCTACGCATCGTTCTCGGGTTCGTGGGGGTAATGGGCTTTTCCTCACCCAAAGGCATTGTTGGAGTGCACAATACATAGACCCATAATCACAACAACGCCTTTGCGAGCTCGAACGAAGCGTAGAAATGTAACATTATAAGTCAACTGAT